GACCCCCTGGCCACAGGATGCCACCGGATTGTTCTCGCCAAGGTCCCCTACCTGCGCGCCTAGTCCAGATTCCACCACCGGAAAGAGAGAGTAGGAGGGGGCGGGGCGATAGGTCACATGGGTGTCCCCGGAAGTATATGTCTGAGGTCAAGGGGCGAAGCCTCCCGGAAGACAGTGCCTTTAGTGTTCCCAAGGAGGTTAAGACTCGCCCTTGAAAAGACGGCTTACTAAAGGGAGTGCCGAAGGTGGCAAGGGACTGGGTGTAGCCGGCAGCGGGTCGGCCCCTTAGACTGCACCGTGCAGCTACATCTGCTGTGTTTTAAGATGGCGGCCGCGGCAGCTAGAAGACTTCCGGCGTCCTGCCCCCGGGCCTGGTCAGCCTGGAGGCGGCAGCGCCCCTCGTGGCGCGGAGGGGAACAACAAAAACAAAACGGGCAATGAAGAGATTAAGCAAAAAACAGAAAAATTCACAAAGAACCCTCCTAGACGGACAAAAGTATGGTGATTGCCAGAGGGAAAGGGGTGGGCGGAGGTGGAAGCGGGCCAAGAGGGAATAAATGGTGGCGGAGAGAGACCTNGTGATTGCCAGAGGGAAAGGGGTGGGCGGAGGTGGAAGCGGGCCAAGAGGGAATAAATGGTGGCGGACTTTGGGTGCTGAGTGCAGGATGCAGGACGCAATGTTGAGCTGCAGAGTTGTACACTCGAAGCCTGTATGCTTTTATAAACCAATGTCACCCCAATAAGTTCAATCAAAAATGAAAAACAGACAATCAGAGTTTGGCCTACTATGTCCTGGGCAAAACAAGAATAAATTATGCAGAGTCGGAGGGCCCAGAGGACATCAGATGGCTGCCCAGGGAGAACCTCACGTTCAGTTCAAACTTGTGTTGGCTGAGGGCGAGGGCACTGGAAAAACTACATTCGGGAAACCTCATCTGACTGGTGAATTTGAGAAATGGCTGTTATGTACGTCCCAGCCCACGGTGCCATTAAAACGTTTAATGTAAGTTGGAGAGTTACTTATAAAAATGTGCCTAACTGGCACGGAGATCCGGTAGGAATGTGTGAAAATGCCCCCAACGTGTCCTATAATGAGGATATCAAGGATGGGAAAGTTAAGGCAAAATCAACTGTCTTCCAAAAGCAGCATCTTCCGTACTATGACATTTCTCCCCACAGCTGCAACTTTGAAAAGCCCTCCCTCTGGCTTGCTAGAAAACTAACTGGAGACCCTAACTTGGGGTTTGTCGCCGTGCCTGCTCCTTCCCCACCAGAGGTTGCCGTGGACCCGGCTTTAGTAGCACAATATGAGCAAGACCCATAGGTGACTCAGATGAGGAGGATGACCTGTGCGAAAGTGAAGCTGGGGCCCGGCATCAGAAATCCAGTTTTATGGGCAACTGTCCTGTGATGTCAGTGGTGCAGCGTGTTTGCCACTTTACTATAGCTGAGCAGAACATGGGCTGGATCTTTAGGATGCTGAATGGGCTTCCAGAGTGAATGTGGCAGTTAAAAAAATAAAATCATTTTTTGGAACTGCATATTTAGCTGTTTTGGAACATAATTGTTTCCCTGTTGAGTTTCTTTTTATTTTTAAATTGATTTTAGAGAGAAAGAGGAAGAGAGAGAGAGAGAAACGCTGATTTGTTATTCCACTTATTTATGCATTCATTGGTTTATTCTTGTCTGTGCCCTGACCAGGGATCGAACCCTCAACCTTGGATCGAACCCTCAACCTTGGCCTATTGGGAGGACATTCTAACCAACTGAGCTACCCAGACAGGGCTTCCTTATTGAGTTTCAAATATAAGACCAATACAGTCGGATCACAATATTCAGTGGTAAAACCTTGTTTGTTACTGTCATTCCCATGCTTTTTTGTTTAGAATCAGAGTAAAGCTGTATTTCAAATATCTGAAAGAAAAAATAAATTATTCAGTGCTTGTTGTTATATACCAACCTGGGATAAGTGATTTATACACATTGCTTCATTTAATCCCCACAGCATTTATAGATAAGGAATTTTAACTGAGATGACACATTTGTGAGCAATTTGGAATTCTGATTTCAAAGCCTATATGTTTAATAGCTTCTTCCATATATCCCTCTAATGACTACATTGAAGGATCTTAAAAGATTGGAAAAATGTATAGATGGAGATATGGGGAAGGGCCAAGAAGTAGGTTATATATATTTGTATGTGCACGTATGTGTGTATGTACGTATATATGTATAGGATATACACCTCAATTTAAGGAAGAACTTTTTTTTTTAATGTATTGTCCCCTTTCCCATTTACAAAAGTAATTAATTACAGAAAACCCATAAAATACGAACATGCAGACTGGAGAACAAAAGAAAACAAAGAAATGCCAGTCCTGCCCACCATATGCACACTTTGGTGTATGTCCTTTCCAAACATCATCTCCCACACACATACAGAAGAGGCACTTCCTTTTTTAAGAAAAGAAAATAATCTGAACAATATTTTTCCTTGATGGTTTAAAAAAATCCATGCTCATTATAAACAATCCATGCAATACAGAGAAGTATGTAAAAAAAATAAAAATCACCTCTCAATCTTTTCTTCTAGGGATATCACCATTACCAAATTGGAACATCATTCCAGAAATAATTATATCTATACTTACACCTTAGTAAATATACAATCTTACATAAAGAAATTATATTCTATATACCAGTTGGTAGCTTTTTATTTTCTCACTCAGAAGATGTTATGGACATCTTCCCACAATAACTAGTAGAGATCTGCAACATTTTTTACAAATATTTTAAATTTTATTTATTAGTTTGAATATTAAATGCATTCACAAAAATAAAAAATTGCAAAGTTACCAAAAAGTATGCAAACAAAAACCCTCCTCCTCTCACCCCTGTCCCCAGCAGCCCAATCCTCCTTCCAGCAACCAGAACACCTGTACTGCATGATACCGGAATACTCCTGCATGATACACAGCCCTTGTATAGCTGTACCACTAATTTTTTTAAACCAGTTCTCTATTGTTGAACATTTTTATTTCCAGAATTTGCAAATATGAACAAAACTGTCAACACACCTGTCCTATTTTTTCTTCAGGGTAAATTGCCTGAAGTCAAAAGAAATAGTTATTTTACACATTGATATATGTTGCTAAACTGCCTTCCAGAAAGTTCAGATCAATTTTTATTTCTGCTAAACTGAGAAACTAAGTATGTCTCCTTGTATTTCTTCCATGATTAGTAAGCTCAGACGTCTCTTTATGGATTATTTTGAGCATTTGCATCTCTTCTGTGAATTGTCTGTTTGTATTCTTTGAAAAAGAAAGCTTTCTGTGCTCAAGTAGTGAGTTCCCCAATAGAGGAGGTATGTTAGCAGAGACTGGAGTCTTGTGGGGTGGCTTCCAGACCTCTAAACCTCAGCAAGGGAAGGCTTGGTGAAATGAGCACTGCTTGATCTTATGGCTGAAGGCAATCTGCACAACCACCTCAGGACAAATGACAAATTTCTCCACAGGAAAGCCTTATCTTCATCCCAGAGACCATCAAAAAATCCCCTTTGATTATTTAATCAACGTGCTTATTATTTCTACAAATAGTTATTAGTTGTGGGTCCTTAGGGGGAAAAAATTGTCACCTCTCTGGACCTTAGTTTTCTCATTTGTAAAATGGGTTAATACAGTATTTTTTTTTAATGTATATTGAAACATATATCTTTATTGGGCACTTTCTCAGTGTTAAGCTCTGAGGTACAATAAGAATAGCATTGAAACTAAGGCTTGAAAATAGAACAGGAATTAGCTAAAGGAAGGGGGAAGGATGGCCAAGGCCAGAAGAATAGTATATGCAAAGGTCCTGAGGTGGGAAGGCACTTGGAGAGTTCCAGGAATTCAAAACATGACCAGTACAGCGTGGGCACTGTGTGTGAGGGGAGAGGGTTGGGAGGTCAGGCTGGAGGAGTGGCAGGAGCCACTTTCTGAAGGGTCTCACTTCCCCGGAGCCTTGCCTGTTTTCCCCATTCCACCCCATCCCACGCACCAGCAACACTGTGAGTAGACAGGATGTGTTTACCGTCACCCCTCATAGTCTGTTCATTCATTCTGTACATTCTTATTGACATAGGAGTGACGGGCTGAGATGGGCTTGGGGACAAGGTCATGTCAGAAGAGCAAGTCAAGTGACCAGAGGCCAGGTGACGTCAGCAGCAGCATCTATATGAATACTGAAGTGACCAAGAACTAAAACAGGGACAAACTGATTGAGAGTGACTTTGAGTCCAGGGTAAAGCCCTCAGGGATGGGAGGGTGTGACCCAGGGATTGGTAGATGTCCGCCCCGAGGTGGAGTGATGGGTGCTATGGTATAGCAACAGGATTCAAAGCTAGTGTCCTTTAGGGAAGAGGGAGGGAGAATGGCCTGAAAGTGACAATGACAAGTAGAGAGGACAACGTACTCACAACCTGTGACCTCTCCCCACCTTTTCTCACCTCCACAGGCTGTGGAAGGAAAAGGAGAAGCCACTGGAAGGCCTGAGGGAGAATGTAGCGTCCTCAGGGGACAGCCAGGTTTCCTAGGACAGACCAGAAATACTCAGAGAAAACGCTGGGATGGAGGAGATTCCACTCCGGATGCTCTGGAATTCCTGAGGGTGGCACAAGGCTTTGAGGCCTTGCGGAGGGATCAGCGGGAGGGACTGGGGAGGAAAAGTCCCTGGGCCCCTAGGAACCAGAGTGCCAGAGACAAGGGAGGCCTGGGTGCAGGGAGGCAGATGACGGCAGCAGGAGATGAGTGCCGGACACTGTAGCTTCTCGATGAATAATAGTTGCAAGGATAGTCCTCACATTAATCGAGCATTTACAACGTGCCAGGCCCTGTACCGAGTCGCACGCACCATTCATTGGATGCCCTCACTGACCCTACGAGAAAATGTTTACTGCCCTCATTTTATAACTGAGGAAACAAGTTAGCAGTCAGTGGCCACGAGTGACAATGCTGGGACCCGAGCCCAGGCAATCTGACTCCAGAGCCCCAGTATGTTTCATCTCGGGTCCAGGGATCCCTCAAATATCCGTTGAGTGCATGAATGAAGAGAAGGGCATTGGCCTTGGGAAAGCCAAACCCTAGCCCTTTCCTGGACCCTCAAGCCCAGGAA